AATTTTGAGAATAAGCTTGTCAAGCTAAATCAGAAAAGAATTTTTTAAATATCTGATGCATACACTAATAAGAAAATAAAAACGACTGCAACATAGTCTACTGAAATTACTCTTATGCGTTGTTCGAACTAATTTTCGACTGAGATGTTTTTACACAGAAAAATCGAGAATTTTTCATAGAATTTAATAAAAAAAACGCGAAATCTCAATTCGATACGGAAGTTAATTAAAAAAATTAATAAAAAATTGAAAAATCGCGGAATGTTATATTTTTCACTTTTTTAATATATTTAATATTTTTTTTTCACAAAAAAATTAGTATCACTGGAAAGAGCGGAAATTTTTCAACCAAAAACGTCACAAACATCTTCTCCGCGGATAAAATTATCACCGAAAAAAAATAATTAAAAAAAAAAATTAATTTCTTATTATTTTTGTCAGCTGTCCGGTAAGTAAGTGTAGAGTTGTAAACAAGCTGCGCGCGCATGAGCAGTCACAGTGGTAATCATCCACTGTAATTTAAAATGAAACATTTTATCGGACGAACAGTTTTGCATGCTACAATTTTTTTTTTTTTAATAAAAATTTTTTTTATTAATTAAATAATGATATTATTAATAATGTAAGACTTGTTTAAAAAAACTTTTTTTTTATAACAACAAACTATTTGAATGTTTAAAATAATATATTTTAATTCTATTGAGCCTTTAGAGTAATTAAATAATAAAAAAAACCGTAAATAATTTGCAGTTTGTATTATAATTTTTGCAGTAATTTTATTATTTACTTACTGATCAAATAAACAAAAATTTTTTTAATAATTATAAAAATTTTCGGTGATTTCATTAATCATTTTAATGAAAAAAAAATAAATAAATAAATATAAACGTAGTTATTTTAGATGAGTTGAGTTTAAAAAATTATTCATCGTCTTCTTCTTCTTCTTCTTCTTCGCCTTATTTTTTCTCTGCTTCTCTCTCTTCTTCTGGTTTTTTCTAACTCTCTCGTTCTTCTCTGGCTTTTTCTAACTGCTCTTCAATCAATATATCTTCAATTTCTTTTTGTTTATCGGTTTACGATCGCAATTTCAATGCTTTATTATTTACAGTTTTTTTTTTATTATTTAATTACTCTAAAGGCTCAATAGAGTTAAAATATATTATTTTAAACATTTAAATAGTTTGTTGTTATAAAAAAAAAGTTTTTTTAAACAAGTCTTACATTATTAATAATATCATTATTTAATTAATAAAAAAAATTTTTATTAAAAAAAAAAAATTGTAGCATGCAAAACTGTTCGTCCAATAAAATGTTTCATTTTAAATTACAGTGGATGATTACCACTGTGACCGCTCATGCGCGCGCAGCTTGTTTACAACTCTACACTTACCTACCGGACAGCTGACAAAAATAA